GAGACAGATTATATGATGTCCAAAACAAAGAGGAAGAGAGGGAGCAGGCAAAACACAAGTGCCTGGCTGAAATAAAAACCAAACAAATCGCATGGAATGCAGCACTAAACTCACAATAATAGAGAGAACAAAGATGAACAAAGGGCAATAATTTTTGAATAGTCGCACATGTCCGCCCACCATGATCGCATAGCTGGCTGAGGTTTACTGTATTTTAATTGGGTTTGAAGCACACCCCTTGAGAATTTTGTACAGAAAAACTCCAATGAACGAGCACTGCAACCCTATAAGGAGGAACAGAAAATCAGTTCCATAGATACGAAGACATGGAGGAGTGTGTGTCAAACCCAATTGGGGAGAATGGAAGATTGTAGTGACACAGCGATAGCGGAAATCATTTGCCATCATTACACACCATCGATAATTATCAGGATAACTATGCACTAGGTCTCAGCTTCCATTTGAAGTTTTAGTTATGGAATTGGAAAGGGCGGGATCAGCCGATCATGGTATGGCAGTATAGCTGCAATGGCATGTACACTGGCGGTGTGTGCTGCCGCCGCAGCCGCCAAGGAGGAGATATGTATGTCACTCTTGTACTGACCAGGATTCTGGTGCATTAGTCGCCTCCACCTCCTCCTCGCACCAGCGAGATGCCACCGCGTCATCTTGCATCAGCAAGACCTACGTAGCTGCTTGATGTTGCCGCGTCACTCTTGAGCCGTTCACATGGCCTCCTCCTCCTACTGATCGCCCGCCTTCGCTGCAGCCAAAGCTCTCTCGCTCATTGTCGCTGCATCCATGATTCATGGACAATCACCAATAAGAACAGCCGAGGTTAGCACTATGAACTTCCAGGACATAGGGAGGGGGAATTAAAACGTAGGGTTGCACTTACGATGGACTGTTACTGGAGGAATACCGTCGACCTTGACCGGAGCCGCCGCCGGTTTCAGCGCAGCAGATGGTGAAGAACCTGGGCCGTTCGGGATGATAGGAAGTCAGGACGATCGACCCTCACAGCGCTCGGTGTAAAAATCCGACGGTTCACGAGAAGGCTCCCAAGTCGATCCCCGGAGCAGCGGCCCGATAACGGGGTAGGGCGACGGCTAAAAAGGCCCACGAGGGCCGAACGATCTTCAGCGTTAAATAGTAGATCGGATGGTCTAGAACGCCAAATCGCTGTGGAGGGGCGTTGGTGGCTGAGTTTTACTATTTTACAATAAGCGGTATTTCCCTGCCATTCTAAGTAAATTTGCATGTGCCAACTCTAATTCTTCAAAATAATTTTCCATTTTGTGTGCCCGTACCGCTCATGAAGTGGCAGGGGGTGGCCAATATTTTCCATGCTAGGTTGGTTATTCTCATGATGAGTGTTTATTCATTTGTCATTACACGAGTGTGTGACAGGTAATAGGGATGCCCAGTCCCGAAATGAAAATAATAATATATGATGATAATAATAAATTTCTTGCAAAGTGTTGGTATGGAAAGCACCCGTGGATATGGCTAAACATGAATTGTGAAAGAATGGTGGAAGGAAAATAAACTTTATTGTCTATTTGAGAACCATCTATAATGTGTCTAGCATGGAAGATATTGGGAATTGTCGGTCATTTTCGCTGACAGGAAAATCATGCCTCTCAAAGTAACTTTATCTCTCAATTTAAGCTTTAAGCCCTAGCACCTCTGCAAATCTCTGTTTCCCTCTGTGAAGGGCCTATCTATTTATTTTTATGCAATTTTTTTATTTTTATTTTGAGTCTCCATCTTCTCTTATAAAGCACCAACTAGAGAACACTATTGTCATACTTGTGCATTAGATGTAGCTAATGTTGAGAATGTTTCATGAATGGATCAATCATTGAGCATAATGGAGTAGGGATAACTTTCTTTAGCGTTGATATTTTAAAAGACATGGTTGCTTGTTGGTATGCTTGAGTATTTATGTCTTCATGTCAAATTATAGACTATTGCTTTGAATCATTCAAGTCTAAATGTCCATGCAACAAAAGAAAAGAATTACATGATGAATAGATAGGTAGCATTCCACATCAAAAATTCTGTTTTTATCATTTATCTACTCGATGATGAGCATAAATTAAGCTTGGGGATGCTTGATACGTCTTCAACATATCTATAATTTTTGTTTGTTCCATGCTATTATAGTGTCAATCTTGAATGTTTTATATACATTTACAAGTGATCATATATCATTTTTAAGACTAACCTATTAATTTAGTGCCCAGTGCTATTTCATGTTTTTTTGCGTGTTTTTGGTTTTTCAGAATATCAGTACCAAACAAAGTCCAAACGCCATGAAACTTTTTGGTGATTTTTTTCTGG